CCTTCCCTCGTATTTTTTCGAGCGAGTTCAACATCAAAAACTATTGTATTTTTTCTCATTTTTTCCCATCTGCAGACTTTGTCATCGTTATTTGCGGGAAGAAGCATGCGGAGTTCCAAATCCGATAGCAAATCGTCAATATCAAAGTTCGTCAAAGGAATGATGTCAAACGTATTTTGAGCTATACACAAATCGTCGTCACTGTTCGACATCGTTTCCAGAATGACTGCTAAGAATATTTGATAGCAATATTCAAATTTCGATTGCTCGCTTTCGCATGAACAGGTTTTCTTAAAGGAAACTAATTTCAACAGTCCATGAAAAAGTCTCAAGAGAAGAGGATTCTATTGTTCAAAACCCAACTAAGAAAACATTCATTAAGTCTATTCAGTTTTTGCGAAAACCACGTGAATTGAAATCTGTAAGAGTTAGTTACCGAGAACGGAGGCATTACGCTATATACAGCCCGAGAGCCGTAAAAAGTAACTAACAAACTTTACGTTTCTATGGTATATACAACCCTATGAATAACAAAGAAAACCTAGTGAATTGGAAACTAAAAGTTTGTTAGTTACCTCGCACGTCGGCCTGCGGCCCTCGGGCTGTATATAGCGTAATGCCTCCGTTCTCGGTAACTAACTCTTACTTAACACAATCGACAATCATGTTGTTGATGGTGGTTCTCTTCTCAACCATTTACCATGGCACCATGAAAACATCTTTRAAGCAGTCCTTAGTAACTCTGTCCAATTTGTACAGCACAAGTATGGTAAGGCGACAATAACCTTTGATGGATATGAGGATGMAGCGTCTACTAAGGATTGTACACATTAAAGGCGWGCAGGGAACGTATCCAAAACTATACTTTGATTTAAATATGATTRTTCCAAAGAATATGCAAAAGTTCTTGGCGAAGGTTATTAACAAGCAAAGGCTCGTTCATCATTTTGCTCCCAAGCTACAGATTGCAGGATGCATTGTCCATAATACCCCAAAAGATGCAGATATATGCTTATTGGGTAGACAGCTGGTGAGTCTGCACGATCACAACCAACGACTCTCATTCTTCTAGTATTACTTTGCTATTACGCTGAAAGTAAGTCGCATGATCTATATTTTATGCCCAGYCCGAAGAAGTCATCGATGACACGAAAAATCTGGGATGTCTACCAAAAAAGGATCTGGGGAAMGATGGTTGCAAAGCGGTTTTCTTCKCCGTGCTCGGCTGTGATACAACATCACAAGTACATGAAATTGGAAAAGGATGTTCTTTAAAAAAGTTCAAAACCAACAGTTCCTTCCGCCATCAGGCAAGTGTATTCATGAACTCTGATACCTGCCAAGAAAGCATTGTATGCGCTGGTGAAAAAAGCTCTGTTATGTTTGTACAGCCATATAATCGCTTCTGTCAAAAGGTAGCCACTGGATCCGCATGCTTAGAACCACAAAAGCTATCACCAACATCTTCTGCAGCAAAATATCGTAGCAAGAGGGTGTCTTATCAAGTGCAGTAATGAAAAGGGAAACATCATCTTGATCCTGTCCAATGGGGATGGAAAATGGTTGACAGAAAGCGTTTGCCTATTGGAACTGATTTGCCTCCAGCACATAAATCTCTTCTCGAGACCATCAGAAGATGCCAAGCAGACTGCAGAACATTGCGATGCACTTGTAGAAAACATGGGCTAGAATGCTCGCCTTTTGCGGAACATGTAAAGGACAGAGTTGTTTAAATGTTGTAAGTCCAGACTTTTTTATCAATAAAAGCTATTTTCACAGCAAAACCAAGTTCATTGAAACAAGTTTATATAGATAAGTTCTCTAGTCCTGCTTGAATTGTGTTTAGTGCAATTGTTTTAAATTTCCAAAACAAGTACAGCGATTTACATAAATATAGTCCATTTTTACTGTATTACACTTACGCAAATGATCTCAATTGACACTATTTTTYTAATGAGTAGATTCGTGATATTCATGATTTCCYATCAGGAGGAGAAGCAAAACCTTGAGGAATGCATCCAAGGAAAGACAAACGACCTGGATACACTGGCTAGTCAAGTAAATGTGTCATAATGTTGAAATAATTATTTTCCAAGGTTAAAATATTAAATCATAATGATGTATTTGAACATTTTGTGATACACCTAATTGAGGAAACGTTGTCGGGTCCAAAAAAGTAAAATCATGGAATACTGGGAAGACAAACAATTTGGCTAATTCATAACAAATAGGTCTCCAGCATAAAAGACTATCATGCTGTTCATCTTACTAGCTCTACTTGCTTAGTGTATGTACACCGTATATGCAAATGTAATCCCAATTTAGTGGTACTCAAAATCCCTTTCGGTCTTAGCTTCTATGATGTGACCTTTCCGAACACGACTACGTTTTTTCAATTAGGTGTACCATATATGCTCATGAATTATTCCAAAGTTCTTATGTGTTGCGCAGTATACCTTTTGCTGTTCATTAGCGTAAAACGTACACTCATTTGTGCCAAGCGATGCTTCAATAACTTTTATTGTACTTTCATTGGCGCGAAACGACTTTCAATAGCGTTATTTAAATACGCGCGAGCATTAAACAGTATCAATAGACAATCAACTGAACGACTGGACAATCATTTGGGTGGAACGTTGTTTCATGTGCGCGCAATGAAAATTCAATAGCACCAATTGACAAACGGTTGCATTTATTGACAATCATTCAACCAGAAATGAAACTTCATTTAATTACATAAACATAGGCAATCTATAGCGCGTTTGGACAATCATAGCTATTCGAGAATACGTTCTTTAGTGCGTTTTGACAATCATTTGAGCGATTCAAAATACAATAACACAAAAGAAAAAGTCAATACTACTTGTCATTAATTTCTATTTAAATTTCAGCCTTCGATAAATGATAAACTCTCTGTTAATACAACGGGGTAGATATGTTTGCATAAAACGGAGCCAGCCCACATTTAGCTGGAATGATTGTTTCAATACTATTTTGATTCAAAGCCTCCAAAAGCAGCTGTGTGCGGTAATGGCTCAAAGCAAGGCCTTGATTTCTTGCTTCATCTCGATTATTCATTTCTTGTTGTATTGCGGGACGACTTATATCTGCTTTCATCGCCGCTTTCAAGGAGCTTACTGCTTGTCCCACGATGTTTAGAAATAGACTGTAAGGAGGCAATTTTTTAATCTCAGTGTTTGCACCTGGAATGACTGGATTATGATGGGCTGGGGCACCATCGTAAATGAAAATGACGTTTTCATCGGGATCAAGATTAAAACGCGTCTTTGCCATAAAGTCGTTAAATTTCTGCGAATTCATTCCTAATTAATCGGRWAATTGAAGAGTGGAAGACAAGGCCATTAGTCGGTGAACTAACGAGTGCAACCGTCATGTATCTTCCACTTTGACCGTAGACTCTCCTGTAGGCTCTCCTCTTCTCGCTCTACCTTCAAGACTGCGGTATTATAATATTTTTACACGTACAATCACGGCAATTTCATGCTGAAAATTGATCAATCGTTTATGTTTTAGCTTTTTTTATCCATGAACATTCAAAAATACAAAAGTAGTATTGATTTTTTCTTTTGTTTTATTGTATTTTGAATCGCTCAAATGGTTATCAAAACGCACTAAAGAATGTATTTTCGAATGGCTATGATTGTCCAGACGCACTAAAGATTGCCTATGTTTATGCTAATAACACTAATGAAGTTTCATTTTTGGTTGAATGATTGTCAATAAATGCAACCGTTTGTCAATTGGTGCTATTCAATTTTCATTGCGCGCACGTGAAACAACGTTCCACCCAAATGATTGTCCAGTCGTTCAGTTGATTGACTACTGATACTGCTGATTGCTCGCGCGTATTTWAATATCGCTATTGAAAGTCATTTCAAGCCAATGATGCTGCTAGCGGTGTTCAAGAAAGTACAATAAAAKTTATTGAAGCATCGCTTGGCACAAATAGGTGTACGTTTTACGCTAATGAACAGCAAAAGGAGTATAAGATCACGTGGAGTAAAAATACCATTATGCTTGTGACACAATGCTTCCTATTAAATATGTATATGTACGATAACGGCAGAGTAGGCAGCAAAGATATTTGTGTATTTTGTTTTATGAAGTGCAAGAAAACCTTCGAGTTAGCCTTTTGAGCCAAGAGAGCTATAGAATTTAAAACGCAGAAGAAAAATCTAGGAAGCACCGAAAATTTAGCAGCATCCGTTCCGGCTTCTATTCTCGCTTAGCGCTTAGTTTGGAGCAAATTTCCTTAAATAAGGGGAAAAAAGATTTTTTTTGTTTAACATAGCTCTCGTTGAGTATTTCCTTTCGGTTTGGGCTTTACTTCCAGGCATAGTGAATTTTAGTTTCTGGGTGACGAGACTCCGCCTCACTCCTAGGTCCGTTCCCAGAATATTCCCGAAATAATTCCAGTTTTAAATAAACAGAATGGACTGATTGGGTCTAATGATGTGCAAATCCAGGTATGGGAAATAGTTTCCCTTCGCTCATTCTCTCCTCATCGTGCATCTTAGGCATCCTTTGAAGGTTCTGTTTTTGCTTGTTCCTACGTCTCAAACATTTGCAATGAAAATTCTCTAAAGCAAAACTATAATGCTTATTTTAATGCTTTTTTCCAGTTAATGCCCCTCAAGAGCCTGCTCCACAAAAAAAAGAACGAGGTAAAGGAACAGCAACAGGGCATTGTCAATCTGCCTTTCATTGCCATCAGAATGGATAAGAATACGAACGTGGAATGCAGTGTTTCTTCTGATGGGTGAGTTACATGTAGCCAGATTTTTTTAAATTACTAAAAAAAATATATAGAGTCAATAGAATCAATTTAAAGAGAATACTATCTTGGCAAAGCCCTTAATGAAATGAATATGGATTGAAAAACTATCATGCAAAAATTGATGGCGCCACTGGTATGGTACACTCATTGATTTTGAAAAAAAACTACACTGTTGTTTTCACTAGGGTTTGAACTCTTGAACCTCTATGGCAGAAMACTCYTTTCTGTGATAATCAAGCTCCTTTGGTCAATGTATTTATAAGCCCTTATAACTAAGACCGTCTTTGAAAGCAGTTTTGATAACATTTGACTGACAACTTTAGCTGCTGYTTGCTGCAATGCTGAGCATGTTTCTTTGTTAAGATGGCTTTGGGATGTCGATTGTGCTTACCTTAACAGTATTGATCAATAATTCTACAGATTGCTTGCATCAATTATGGATTCCAGTCACTTCARCGATGTTAAATTGGGTGGTTATGGAATTGTTTTTACTTTTATTTGTTGGCCTTGTAGCACTAACGCCTCGTGCTTGCACCTTCTCCAAAGTGTGTAAATTATTCAGACAAATAATAAGAGCATTTAGCATTATTGATTTGACTTATGGAAAGGAGTCTGGAACCTAAGGATATAGTTCTAAACTACTAAATGCACATATCAAACTTATTGCCATGCATCGGGTGACATTTGCTTAGATTTCTGCTTTAGTCCAAGAACTAAACGTCAGGCAGTAGATGTTTTTTTTTATTTTGAAAAATCGTCGGTTCAACCGTAATTTCAATTAATACAACAAGGGAATACACTAAAGACCGAAATAATACTATAAGACAGGTTTTTATAGTCACGAGCCACGGTCACAAGCACGGCACTTTGAGATTTTTCGACTGCCTGACGTTTAGTCCCAGAACTAAAAGTCAGGCAGTCTACTTTTTTGTGAAAGGTCGTCGGAACAACTTTAATTTCAATTAATAGCACAAGAGTCGAAATGGAATAAAGACCGAAATAAGGTTCTTGTCAAAAATTAGCAGGAGGAGGGGAGGTGGAAATTGAAAAGTGGGTACTGGGAATAGGCTGACCAACCATAGTGGGGAAGAATTGAAATTTTCTAACCCTACTGAAATTAGACGGGCAAATATCGTGACCCTCCCCGTCCACCTTCAACCATTACCAGAAAAATTTATCATTGTCCACAAGCATCCATTGAATGGTATATATAATTGGACCATTCTTTGTTCATTTTGAAGGGATAAGGATTAGGTTATTTGATAGGCAGTTGACATTTGATGCATYTATTCTAAGTATTGCTCACTTTATACATTTGTTATACTTTGTTTGTCTTAGAGATGTTGTGGATATTGAACCACATAAAACATGTACACTTTTTTCATCTATTTATACTCTGAACCAATTCTTCTTATTATTTTAATAATAAAACTGCTATCAAATATCCTATTCATTATCCCTTCAAAATGAAGAAACAATGGTCTAATTATATAGTCCCTGCACCATCTTTCACTGGCTGCTCTTGGGCAATGATAAATTGTTGTGGTAATGGTTGAAGGTGGATGATCTGATACAGTGAGGGTTAGTAGTAAGCAAAGGATGTTTCGAGCCCCGTCCAGTAGGAGGTAGGAGGTAGGAGGTAGGAGGTAGGAGGTAGGAGGTATGCTAATGAGGCAAAAGTGATAGGGGAGGGGTGGTCAAAACGAGTAGGAGGCATAAATTATTTCAGTAGGAGGTATGCTAATGAAGTCAAAAGTGATAAGGGATGGGTGCTYAAAACGAGTAGGTGGTATAAATTAACATRAAATTGTGGGCGATCTAATTATGCTGTGTTGGTMAATCGAGGAGRTAATTATCATAAATTGTGGGAATCATATACTATGAAATTACTATTGTTCC